TGGAATAGCTCTTAAAGCTTAGCCTCCATCTAATAAAAACTATGCACGTCTCTCACAAACTAAAGCTAATTCAGCAGGATCTAAAATATATCTATCATTAAATATATTTCCTTAAACAAGTTCTTTTGAATGAATAAAAGCTTGCCAGTCTAATCCATTTATCATTTACATTTTAATACTGATGAAACTAATTCAGTTGACAATATTGCACTCTCTCTTTATTAATGACAATCTGAATAATAGCAGTTATGCTCCTATATAATTTATAATATAATAAACCTTTGCTATATAAAGCTGTATGATTATTTGGATTAATAATTAATACTTAATCTAAAAACTTAAGAGCTTCATAATATTTATTCAACTTTCTTAATGAATTACCTATATTTGGAAATTTAAATTACCTTTTGTAAATAATGAATTGACATGCTTTGAATCTATAGATAAAGCTTTATCAGCCCATATAATTGAATCATTATAATTCTCAAGCATTCTTAAAGATTCAGCTAATACATTTGAATTTTGATTACCTTTTATAAATAATGAATTGACATGGTTTGAATCTATAGATAAAACTTGATCAGCCCATATATTTGCATTATCCTAATTTCCAAACATTCTTAAAGAATAAGCTAATAAATTTGAATATGATTTGTATACGATTTGGAAATATTTCATTGAGATTTATAGGATCATTAAATAATGTAAAATCTAATTATGTAATTACTTCTTGCTATTTCCTATCATCATAAAATATGATTCCTAAATTAACAATTTTATTACTTTTATAATATAATTCTTGCTCTTTTTCTTATTCTAATTTATTTAATTCTTCTAGTTCTAATTCTGTAATCTTTATGTTTAATAATTCAATTATATCATCTGAAGATTTCTTTAAATCTTCTAATAAACTTATTTTATTTTCATCATAATTGATTGCCCAATCTAATACTTAATTCAATTGTTTTGCGTTCAATTATAACAAATTTTCCTTAGATTATTGATATTTCTTTTTTAATCCTTATATTAATTAATTAAATAGTTCATATATATTGCAAACTATAGTATTTAATTCTGTAATCAAGCATTCACTTTCTTTTTAAACATTTATAAAAAATTCAATTAATTCCTTTAAATCTCTTTAATCCTTTAAATGAGCGGCATGATCTTCATTCTTAAGACATTAATGGCAATATACTCTATTAGCTTTACAATTTTAATTCAAACAAGCTAATTCAATATAATCGTGACCTTTAATTGAACATTTTATCTATAGTTCTCTTTTCATATTCAAATATTTTATTTTAATTTGTAATTCTATTATATTGTTTCAATT